CCCGCGACCTTCGGGTCAGCAGCCGAGTACTTCAGCCACCAGACCACCGCGGCGAGGCTGACGTGTTGCTATAGTGCCTCAGGTATGCGCAATAATTGATTTTTAATTGAAAATTGCACAAGTATGGATGCTGAACCTTGAGCAATATTGCTGGGCGCTGCGGATGGGGTCGGCCGTTTGGAGTATCGTTTAGTCACTTTGGTGCCGCTTAGGGTACCGTTAAGGGTAGACAAGCGGATAATTGTACAGACAGACCAAAATTTGTGCATCGAAGGTTCACAAGAAGGACTGTCGTCTTTAAAAAAGCGAAAGGCCCTCGTCTCCTTCGTGCCCCTTTGCCGTCGTTCTCCTCTCGCGCTACAACTATCGCCCAACGCATGCTTCGCCCCCATCGGCACACAACCGCATTCGTTTCCTCCTTTCAGGTCTGAGAGAGACGTGTGGTGTCACGGCCGCTGGAAAAAGAAGCTTTTACAGGCGATAGTCTGTCTTGGGGACCTTCGACGCAAAAATTTTGATCTGTCTGTCTGTACATTTGTCTGTTTGTCCACCCTTAACAGTACCCTAAACGGTACCAAAGTGACCAAACGATACTCCATATGGTCGACCCCATCCGCAGCGCTCACCAATATTGCTCAAGGTTCAGCTTTCATACTTGTGCGATCGACAATTAAAAAGCAATAATTGCGCATACCCGAGGCACCATAACAACTCGTCAAAATTCTGTATGTGTATTTTTTACTAGAAAAGGCATACATAAGTAATTTTAAGGATCGTAGCCTCTATAACGCTGCGCTGGCCATGCAACGTTTGCACGAAATGGCAAGTGTTTCCAACGCTTTGCTAAGACGACACGGTGGTGGCGCCTACCCGTCGCATTGCGTTCTACACCTTATCATTTCAGAGATGGGCGCGCATGGCGCGCGCCCCGTTTTCCACGATAACTGCCAGATGACGCTCATGTCCCACGTGTGACGTGACTTGATGCGCTCGTTCGCCTCCGCTACACGCTCGAGGCACTCTAACGCAGCGCCTGCAGAATACCATTCACTGATTTTCTTGCGCAGGACATCAAATAAACGTTTAGTTCACTCTCTCCAGATGCAAGACTATCGTCTTTTGACGACATTTGCGGTGTAACGTGCAGATACGGGGCCAATTTTTTCCCTACTTTTTTTTTCTAGGTGGGAAGGAGACAACGCTTGGAGCGCCAACGAGTTGCTGAAGCGCTACCATGCAAAGTCGCATGCATTGAGCAGCATTTCCTTTGCCATGTTTCTAGAAGCAGCCGCGTCCCGCCGCCGAGGATTTTATGCGTACACGTAAGTGGCAATGTTTTCTGACGCATTGCCAGTTTTTTTTTTCTTGGAAAAATTCACTTTGATCTGCGCAACTGATGTGTCGATCCGGTAGTCTCTTCTAGCTGACGGATAAGAGTGGTTCAGGTGAACTGCTGCTGTGTCAGTCGTCGTTGATCGTTTACGGGTAAATATACGCGTTTCGCGTTTTTTATTCGTTTGTTTATATTGCAAGGAGCATGAATATATATTGCCATTTTTTTCATTAGGGAGCACTGCAACAAGGACTGCAAAAAGTGTGGATAGAGTGATGCAATGGTCTCACTGTGATGAAAGGAAGTCTGCTAAGATGCATGCCTGGTTTCTGAAGTCCTACGCAATTTTTTCACGTTACATTAGGTCGCAAATGAGATGTAAACGACGAGTGAAAAATATCTTCCTGGCCCGCATTCAAGGTAAGATGTGTTGTCCTTAATTTATTTGTTGTACTTTTTGTTTTTCAGTGACATATTACGAGGAAATTGTGTGTTTTGGGGCTTCAAGCATGTTTCAGAATATCAACGCACTGAAATAATTATTGTAACTGCACAGTTTTTCTGAATTGTGTAATACCCACAAAATTGCTTTGCCTAATTGTGCGTATAGAACTTATAAACGCATGCGACTGTGCAACTAGTCATGTGAATAGTCTGCATTTTTCTAATTATTAATCATTCTGTTTGTTCACTTCAGCTTTTCCCAGCAACAGAACGATACAAGCCTTGCATTTAGGTGGTAAAATGTCGCACACCAAATACGTATTGACGGCCAAGAGCACGAAAATTGACCGAAAGAGAGAACTGATCTAGCAGGAATACCACTCCATCGACTGTATAGTTGGGTTGCACAAGGCCTGCTGAAAATCGTTGCATGCGAACAATGTGGCACGAAAACATAGTGCATTTATACAACTGCGAAATAAACATATAAAGTGAGGAAGCTTACGTTCATCTTTCTTTTATTGCGTGTTACATACTTACACGCTAACAAGTGCAGACTTGAAGAGGTGTTTAACTACGTTTTGCATGTGCACTGAGCCAATGTCGTGTGTACAAAATACAAAAAAAGGAAATAAAAGCAGAGCAAGAAACGTTGGCAGCCGACCTACAGGCGTCGGTAAATGGACGCTTATGTAAGGTCGGGCCATGATCAAGCCGCGCGCGGCATGCACTCGGGCTCATCGGCCAACGCGGTCGGGCCTACGTTGTGTTCCGACATCGGCCAGCGTGAGGCCAATGTCAATCCCCAAGACCGTCCCTATGTTGGTTGCCAAGGTCGGGCCAACCACTTCGCAGTCAGTCGCAGTCCTCTTGCCGAGGACAAATTTGCTTGGGCGGCGCAGTCCCGAACAAGACGCGCAGTGCAATGCCAGTCAGTGGCATCGGGGATTACCGCCTGAGTACAAGTACGTGGAGTGCCTGGAAATGTGCTGCTTTCGAAGGAATAAGAAAAGCGCGCAGTTTTACTCAGCTCCTGTGCTGAAGAAACACAGACGGTCTCATCGTGACGTCGGCGAAACCCGAGAGGCCGACTGCTGCAGCGTATACGATTAAGAGAGCGCTCCGAGAAATCATACATCCGAACGCATCAGTGCTGTGTGGTAGATTTTCGTTTTACAAGCGCAAGGGGAGAGCGTCGCGGATTACGTGACAGCGCAGAGAACACTGGTTGAAAACTACGGCTTCGGAGACAAGCTTCTTATGGACGAGATGATGCGAGATTGTTTCGTCTTGGGCATCAGCGACAAGGTGGTGCAGCAACTCCTATTAGCAAAAATGAACCTGACGTGGCAGTGGAAGGCTGCAAGCAACTCAATGACAGCAACGAGAAATCTGGACGCACAGTGTTAAGTACGGCGCCTGGGCTTACGAGGGAGCGGTGTTCTTTAGATCCTCAAACAAGTCGCCGAATGGCTGGCGGCCTACATCCGCCATGTATTGTTGAAGCGAGGCGCTATGCCGTGAGTTTCACGAGACGACGACAAGTGTTTACGCGGTAGTAACATCTTACTTGGAAGAGACAGCGGCGGTAGCCGCAAATCGCCCCGATAATTGAGCGAGCAGTTCGGCGGACCCTTTAGAGCTGTGCTGCGGCGGCCCTTTTAATGCATGCTGTCTTGAGCTCGGGACCTTTCACCCAGCGGCGCACACACGACAAGAAAGAGTCACGTTGATGCCTCATTGCAATGGTCACTCCGCCCTAGTCAAGTACGCTGTCGTGGGCGGGTGTTGGCGGCCCCGCCTATCGAAAGTGGTGTATGTCTTGAGATTGGACAGTGTAATTCGGTGCCCTTTCCCTCATCAACCGCTTTTGGGAAACGGGACTGTTTATAATCACCCCTCGTGGGCTCTTTTGCGTGTTTTTTCGATGCAGTGGTGATGCTTTTCGATGTAGAGCCTTCGACGAGATCGTCACGATGTAGGATGACATATTTGTCTAGATGTTTGTCATGTGGCAAGAAACGCTCGCTTGTAAATAACCTAAAATAAACCCCTGTAAATATCTCCCGAAGAACGCACCTTCCTCCTTGAGAGATGGACAAAACGGGCCCGGTGGTGACGGCCAGCTACCCACGACGAGACCTGCCAGACCCGAAACGCAAAGACTGGCAGCAGAAATGGTATGTTGTCCGACCCCAGTCCTAACAGCAGCCTCGTGTGACGTGAACTGCAGCGGCGACGTGGCCGTTCACGAAACGCGTCCAAAAAAACCAGATGCGTCCAGAGATGGCGTCTGCTACCGCTGCAACGGTGATCACCGTTCTAAAACTTGCTAATTTCGTTATGAGGCTTATAACTATTGCAAGAAAAGAGGCCATATTGCTAGAGCTTGTCGCTTTAGAAAAGAATGACCGTCAAGCCATAATCAAAGTACAGCCCAGATGCCAGGAAAACATCCGGCATGATGGAAAATACGGCAAATAGACCGTCTCGAGACGTGGAAGAGCTTTGCTCTCTTTATGAAGTTCATTAGTCAGAAAAGTTTATTACCACTGTTCTGTTCCATAAAGGTTCAGATGGAAATACGCTCGGGAATGTCTCACTTACTGGTTAGTCAAGAAACGTACGTGGCGAGCGATTGAAGAACGTGCCGGAAATCCCACTAGTTAGTGCTGAAACGCAGCTTGTGACTTGGAAGAAAGAGCCACTTAAGATGCTGGGAAAAGCAGTAGTTAAAGCGCGTTTCAAAAAAGATGTGCAACGTTGCCTTTAAAATGGTGAACAAGCAAGGTAGTTGTCTATACTAGGAAAAGGTTGGTTTAAGGCTTCATGAATTAATATTCAAGAAATTAACAGTGTATCTGATGGGTAAGAAATTCTTCAAAGTTTGCAAGAAGTCTTTTCAAATGATCTTTCAGGATCTATTCAAGACCCAGTGCTCATTGATCTAAAAAAATGCAAGGGCAGAACGGATGTTGGGAAGTAAAGAAGCATTGAGAAAACAGTCTAGAAAGGACACTCGTGCAAGATATCCCACTTCTGGTCAAACAGCATACCATCCCACATTAAGTGAGTGGGAAGAGCCCGGCGGAGTTGATGGTGGCTCGGAAATTGCGCTCAGCTTTGGACAAGCTGAAATTAGTCCGTCACCTCTGGCATAGCTGTCAATAGATTTGACATAAAGAATTCGGTCTATGCCCGAAACTTCGCTTCGGGACCTCGATAGAAGTTGGCGAAAATTTATTTATTAAATACCCTCAGGGTACAAACGTACATTGTAGAGGGGAGCGGCAAAAAATTAACACGTAATAATAACTACATAGTTATAAGTATAGAATACAGAAATAAAATATCATGATGATACTTTAAACAGACATGACTTACAAGAACAAATGCAATTGTACATGGAGTGAATAATGCAAGAATAAAAACACCTTATTGTCCCGGAAAAATCAGAAAATTTGATCATTGGATACACTGCCAAGAGATATATAATCAAAAAACATTTATAAAAAAATAACCATTCGTAAAAAAAAAAATTGCGAGAAGCAAAGCAAAAAAAAAGCATACAGAACAATCAAAGGCGTGAGAACAAACACTGAGCGATGTTAACTTGAAATGAAACTTGAAATGCGACATTGAAATTATTGGTGTTAGTTATGCTCATGAGTGATGCAGGCAGATTGTTCGTTGTGTGGAGAAATGAATGTGTGTTGAACGTTAAGTAAAGTCAAAGTAAAGGGTCCAGTGTCCTATCTGTCTCAAATGGTGAAGTACACCACAGGCATCGCAACCAACTGAGGCGCGCATGGCCGGCAGAGAAGCCTTTCTGACTACCACTTCCGACTCCTCCGGTACAAGCACCTGTCAACGTGAAGCCCGGTGCCGTCAGCGGAATTCCTACACCTGAGAGACCGAATTAACCTGAGAATATTTACACGAACTCGTAGACCAGTTGTTCGCTTTGGCTATAATGTTTGGAGACAAAGTTCTTCGTTTAAACTTAAAATGGAGAAATGTTATGACGTGGCACTAGACACTGCTCTTTTGTGTTATGACGCCCGCAAGCCACATGCGAATGACGTCGCTTGTATGCCTCAATTTATTGGAACGCGCAGTATATCCTGTGTTCTGTTGCTGAGCGTCTGCCTCCGAGTCAGGTCGATTACACTTCCGGATGCGCATATTGTAAGCGTACCGCTCGTACCTTAAGTGTTCATGCTCATAGCTTTCTTGTTCAGAAGCTCTGCCTTTACAACCAGCTGCTTAAAACCTACACTGCTGAATGGGGCTCCTCATGCAGTAGTGCTTAGATTGATATATGCCGACGGGTTACAGCACATTTAAATGAAGGTAGCGATATTTTTATCACGCTGCACAGTAAAAAACATCAATGTAGCACTGCAAAATAATATCCCATCATGAATGATTGGGCATGTCTTGTTTTGTGTGTATCCTCCTCTTTCCCCATTTGAGTGCCTTGCGTTGATTTGGCTTGTGGGGTTTAACGTCCCAAAACCACGATATGGTTATGAGAGACACCGTAGTGAGGGGCTCCGGAAATTTCCACCACCTGGGGTTCTTTAACGTGCACCCAAATCTGAGCACACCGGCCTACAACATTTCCGCCTCTATCGAAAATGCAGCCGCCGCAGCCGGGATTCGAACCCGTGACCTGCGGGTTGGCAGCCGAGAACCTTAACCACTATAGACAACCGTGGTGGGGCGAGTGCCTTGCGTTGAGCACCTGTCTGTACACGGATATTGGTATTGGTAAGCAGCGTTGGTAACTCTACACGGCAGTCTCATGCCTCTAACGTAGTTAATATACCGCTTGCATCTTAACACACCATCCCTGTAGTACGGGCCAGAATTTAGAAAAAATCGACGGTATTACAAACACAACTGCAATATATGAGCCAAACAATCCATTTGCAAGCTTGCAGCGCAGTTCCAAGCACGTGTCACGATGGCACTCATGTGGATTTTGTTCCCTCGTGGCACACACACTCACGGCATGCTTCTTACCCGCTGCGACGTGCGATATTGACTGAATCAACAACGCTGAGCCGTGATATCCACGAACAGCTGATGTTTCCGCAAGATGCGTGCGCGGAGCGTGTAACGCGTACCGTGTCAACTTGTGGCTAAAAGCGAGTGCCGATGTTGCTGTTTCTTATTGAATTTATTACGCACGAATGATTGTATGATCTGTATCAGTTTACTACAGTAAAATTAAGCACTTACGTGCTTCTTATACGCACCAGTCTGTTTCCGACGCGGGTAAAGGTGGCTGGTTGGGATTCGCTTTCCTGTGCCGCATCAGTGGCGCTGACATCGTTTTCCGTCGTCGCTCTTACAGTGATGAACGGCTCGAACATGTACAGCACGAATGTACAGTTAACTCGTTGCGACTTCTATAGTTCGCCATACTAACAGCAACTACCCGATTCCAACAGAATAAAACGGCGCATCGCCTACTGGTGAGCGCAATCCACTGTCCTCACTGTCCCTAACGTGATGCCACAAAGCTTCGACCAATCACAGGCGGCGGCGAGACTCGCGATGCCCGCCGAGGTACCTGTTACTAGTTCTGGGCAAAAAAAAAAGTTATTTGCGTTGGTTTATGCAAATTTTCGGCTTCATTTTTGAATTCGCCGCTCAAAATTACTTATCAAGACATCAAAAGCTTGTTTTTTTAAGTGCTTCAGTGTTCCTTCAGTGACCGACAGGCGTTGGTTGAAAATTCTGAAGCCGTCTACAAGTGTCTCCGACAACCATATCGTAGCTTTGGGACCCCAAAAAGCACAGTTATTCGTAGTCCTTCAGAGCTTGACGGCGTCGCCGCTGCATACATAGCGCACGGGTGGCAGTTCTGCTCGGCGGCTCGAAAAGCATGGTAGCACGGCTTTGAATTCTTTGCGAAAGCTGTCATTGAGCCAGGTGTAGAGGAAGGGGTTGTAGCAGGTGGAGCTCACGGCAATCGCGTGCGCCAGGAAGAAGAAAGCGTTCGCAAACTGCCAGCTCGCAGCGCGCAGCGAAAAATCGATGGCCAAGTTATACAGGTTGAGGGGAAGCCAGCAGGCGCCGAATATGACGACCATGGAGACGAGCATCCGGTTAGTGCGGCGCGTGCGCCGTCGCTCAAGCTGCTCCTTCTGCATCGACTTGGCGCCAGGCTTGGCACGCGCCCGCTCTCGAAGCTTGCAACAGACGCGCATGTAACAGAAGCTGATGACGGTAAATGGCACGCCGAACTGGAGTGCGCTGGTGCACAGGCTGAAAGCGCGGCGGCTCTCTTCCGACGGCCAACGCTCCTCGCAGAAGGAACCACCATCGGCTGTCAGGCCAATGAAGAGGCCGTATGGTAGCGTCAAAAGCGCCCCAGCTACCCATATGAGGACAATTAGTGCGCCGCACACGGGCAATCGAAGCCGGCCTCTAAATGGGTGCATGATGACGAAGAATCTGTCCACTGCAATGGCCGTTAGTGTGAACGAGGAGACATACACGCTGACGCCCTGTGCGTATGGTACCATACGACACAGCGCCGAGCCCAGCGGCCACGCACCGACGAACTGGTGCAGTGGCGTGAACGGTACGGCGAGAGTGCAGAGCAGAATGTCGGAGAGTGCGAGGTTGGCGATGAATAAGTTTGTCACAGTGTGCATGGCTCGCTGCCTGGCCACCACAAAGCACACGAGTGCGTTCCCCGAAACACCCACGGCAAACACGAGCCCGTACACGCAGTAGAAGAAGGCCCGCACCGCCGGTACACTGGACACGTAGTCCACGTGGTGGCTCACGTTGCCCATGGCACTGCAGAAAATAATTAGAGATATTCATCATCAGGTCAGCATGTATGGTTCATTTTATTTGTTTATTTACAAGATGCTGCAGACCCAGTAAGGGTCCAAGCAGGAGGGACAAAACAGATACAAAAGAAACACTAAGGTTAGACAATTAACACAATCCACTGACAGGATGAAAAAATATATTGCAGAAATGAACACTTTGAAGCAGAAATTACAAATTATTTTAAAAGCACAACAATACTTTAAGTCCAAATAATTGATTAGCAGAGTGACAAAATATATGCAAAGAGCAAATAAACAAGGCGAGTTTTGGAGAGATATGGCGTCAAAGATTCAGCACGATGATGTCTCGTTCGTCGAGCTACAAGTGGCTTCAATAAAGGATCTGTACTAATGAAAAAATGGTTGTTCTTCAGCAAAAATGAATTTAATTCTATAAATTTTTCTTCGTAATTGCGATGTTTGAATATTTAGCTAGCGTAAGACTGGTTGGGGAATCGGTCGAGTGATATTTAGAAAAAATAAATCGGACTGCTTTACGTTGGACTTTTTCTGAAGCGTCAATGTTGCATTTGACATAAGGGTCCAATACGATACATGCATACTCTAATTTAAGATGGACGATTGCTGCCCCGCCGTCGTGGTCCAGTGGCTAAGGTACACGGCTGCTGAACCGCAGGTCGCGGGATCTAATCCCGGCTGCGGAGGTTGCATTTTAGATAAAAGAGAAAATGCTGTAGGTCCGTGTGCTCAGATTTGGGTGCAGGTTAAAGGACCCCAGGTAGTCTAAATTTCTGGATCCATCCACTACGGCGTCTCTCATAATCATATGGTAGTTTGGGACGTTAAACCCCACATATCAGTCAATGAGTGATATGCTGTCAGGCGAGTGATAGGGGGAGCGTGTTTTAATGTATGTCTTAGGAAACGCAGCTTCCGGAAAGCTGCCTTTCAAATATTGGTAACGTGAGCATTCCAAGAAGAGGTGTTCGTTATTGTCACACCAAGGTGCTTGTATTCACGAACTTATTTCTGTAAGAGGTGTAGAATCAATTCTGTATGGAAACGATAATGTGTGAAGTTTTCTCGTAACTTTCATAAAAACTAATTTGTTCGCATTTAGTTCTATATGCCACTTGGAACACACGATGCCATGCTGTGAAAGTTTGAATTTAGAGCAGTTTGGTCTGCGTCGCAGGTTATTTCGTTAAATAATACGCAGTTGCCTGCGAACAGCCTAGTCTGCACGGGTGATTTAATTACATCAACGATGTCATTTATATAAATTAGAAATAATAAAGGCCCTAAAGCGCTGCCCTGTGGGACACCTGAGGTTACAGGAAGCTCACCTGAAAAAATATTGTCAATTTCAACCAACTATTTACGGATACATAGGTAAGCAGTAATTCAATTAATTATGTACGATGATAGCTGAATCAATTTAAGCTTTTCGACTAGGTGAGGGTGCGAAACAAGATCGAATGCCTCTCTAAAATCTAGAAAAAATTACATCAATTTGTCCAGACTTATCAAGCACACCTGCGAACTCGTGAATTATTGTGGTTAATTGGGTAACAGTTGACAGGCCTTTACGAAAGCTGTGCTGGTGGTCATACAAGACTCTTATCAGGGAGAAATGTATTAATTTCTTTTGCAATAACATCTTCTAGTAGCTTGCAACAAGACGATGTTAGAAAAATCGGACGATAAATAGTCAACACAAGAATAGTGGCGGCACGGCCGGGGAGGGAAAACGCAAATAGTGTGATTGCTCTTTTGAGTCGACAGATGTTCAGGAATACGAAAATAGTAATATCAGACAATGGACCTGCGTTTCGCAGTCAGCGTTTGCAAGATTGGGCGAAGGAACGAGGAGTTGTATTGCGATGCTGTGCTCCATACCATCCTGCAGGAAATGGCATGGCTGAAAGAATCATTCAGGATTTGAAGCAGTTCATTTCAATGTATCCAGGTTTTCAGGGTGGATGGAAGTGATGCTTGGAGGCCGCTGTCGCTCATCACAATTGGTCGCACACTGCGAGCATCGGCTGTAGCCCATATTTTGCAGCTTTTGGAAATGTACCAGTGATTCCTGCTGATTAAGAACTTTGCATTGCAGACCGCCTGCCATTGTGCGAAAAACGAAAAACTTCGGAAGCCTACCAGCGATAACAGGAAAATATGAAGAGGAACTTTTACCGCCACCACAATACCCGGATACCTCAGATACAACTGAACTATCTGGTGCTCTTCAGAAAAGGCCTTCCCGGAACAAAGCAGGTGTACATTGGACCTTATCGCGTGGTGCAGATCGCAGTGCAGCATGGCGTTCTCAAAAGGGTCGGTTACACCGACGAGGACGGTGTGCTGGAGTTTGCGACCATTGGAAATGTTTTCATGTATCACCCCAGGAGGGACGAGTCTTCAAAGAGGGGGAGTGTACGTGGACGTTAGGCAGGGTTGGAGGGAGACGAAGAGAAAGAAGGTGTTAGAAATAAAGAAGAAAGAAGATGGCTGACACCCCTGCCTAGTACTGTGTACTATAATATATATATATATATATATATATATATATATATATATATATATATATATATATATATATATATATATATACATATATATATACTAACAGACTAGTAAAAGGTAGAGAAGAGAAGGAAAGGAAGACGAAGAGTCTTAGCACGATCGCAGTGTGCTGCCGCAAACGACCATCGTTCACCTCCTGTAAATAAAACCATCTTATCACAGCTCGCTGTTACAGTTGTGGTGGAGGTGCTGGGTAATCTACACCCGAAGACGGAGGGTGAACCGCAAGTTCTTCGACGGAGCCGTCGCATTGCTGGACTTCCACCGAATCCATCTGGGCTGGACATGTCCCACAACGCAAATGAACACCGACCCCTCTCGACTTCTGCGCCGACCAGTTCGGCTCCACAACTGAGAGATGCTCGTCCCTTTGCCGGCAGACCAGATGAAGACGTCGAGGCTTGGCTCATGCATTACAAACGGGTGAGCGCCGCTAACAAATGGGATGCCGCTTCTCAGCTTTTGTACGTCGTGTTCTTTCTGACGGATACTGCATTAATGTGGTACGAGAATCGGGAGGAAACGCTAACGACGTGGGGCAGATTTTTTTCTGAAATAAAAGAGCGTTTCGGCGACCCAACAACGATAAAGAAAAGAGCAGAACAGACGCTAATGCAACGCGCTCAAGTGCCAGGTGAAACTTGCACGACCTACATTGAGGAAGTCATAAAGCTATGTAGGACCATTGACTCCGGAATGTCTGAGGAAGACAAAGTCGGGCACATTCTAAAAGGAATCGCCGAGGGTGTTTACAGTTTCCTCATCACGAAGGACACCTTGACATCTGTCACCGATGTCCTTCGCTATTGCCGCACTTTTGAGCAACTAAAGACGAGGCGCATCACGCCGAAGTTCGGCAGGCTACCCAATGTGACGACCATCGCGAGTATAGACAGCAACCAGGCGCTTGATCTTGCATCAACAACCCGGCAAATAGTACGTGAAGAACTTGGCCTGTACGCGCAAGTGGCAAACCGCCCAAGCACTCATCCCCCCTACCAGCCACCAGAGTTCGTGCAAAACGTTGCTTCATTCTCCTCGCACCGAGTGGCGGAAGGCTTTGAGGATTCTGATGTCACACCTCAGTATCAGCCGCGTCTATACGATAGAGGCCCTGCCTATGACGCGCGATCACGACGAGCACAGCCGCATTCTTATACTGAGGACTCTCAGCCGGACTACGTCCCGCTGCGGCAAGGACAGTACCAACCCTACTACCAAGATGTAACTTACGACGAATACAATGGATTCCAGAGAGTGTCAGAAACCCGTTCTTCGCGTGATAACGAACTTCCTCGCCGACAGCAGCGGCCCAGGATTCATTCCGATGAATATAGTATAAACCGTGACCCTCCCGTGTGCTACAACTGTGGTTTCACTGGGCATATCGCTCGGTATTGCCGCCAACAACGCCGCCAATCACGAAGAACACCAGCCATGTCTTCGCCACCAAGACCCGGTGATTCATATGACCTGCGAACAACCGACTTGTTTCGAAGGGACCGTTTTTCGCGCGAGACCAGACGCAGTGATTCGCCAGCATCCGAGCGGAGTTTGACACCACCATCCAACTGTTCTCGTCGCTCGTCGTCTCCTCTGCGTCGTTCTTCACCGCCGCCGGGAAACTAGCATCCGCGGCCAATGAAGGTGAGGTCGCCGGACGGTCTTTGCAACATATACCTCTGCCTATTGTTATGATCAAATACAAAGTGAATGTGTTGATTGATGGAATACCGACGATGGCGTTAGTTGACACTGGGGCGACTGTGTCTGTGATGAGCCTCGCCTTCAGAAACCGCTTAGGGCGCAAAGTTATGTTTTCATGGGACGATACAATCACCTTTCGTGGTGTAGGCGACGAGTGGCTTAATCCTCTTGGTGTATGTGTTGTCAGTGTTTCATTGGCTGGAAAAGTATTTGTATCGGAATTTCTGGTTCTATCTCGTTGTTCGCACGATGTCATTCTTGGTATCGATTTCCTGAAGCAATGCGGTGCTTCCGTTGACTGTGGTAGTGGGGAAATATCACTAAACAATTTGTTTCTACCATCGCTTTCCGAAGAAGACTTCCGTGGCGAAGACAGGAACACACTTAGTGTGATTGATAAAGTGATAGCACCATCTTGGTGCCTGACACCCGTTCGAGTCTCTTCCGCAGCGGTTGATGATGCTTGTGTTGACCTCGTAGTGGGGCCTCTACGCAAGAACTGTTTGAAGAAGGACATACGTGTGCCTTGTTCTGTTGTGTGCATGACAAAAGGAGTAGCAACATTGTGGGCGCTGAACTGTTCTGCCACGCCAGTTGTGCTTCCTCGCGGGATGAAGATAGCTCTCTTTGATGAAGCCTCATGCAACTCGATAGCAGCAATAGCTACGGACCTCCCCACCTCTTCCTCTCCTTGTGATATTCGCCATA